GCACTAGGTTTTACGGAAAATAAAGACGGTTCAACAGCCTATGAAAGAACTTCTGATGCCTCCTTTTGAGGATAATGGGGTGTTCACAAAGGAAAACTCCCAAACGCCACGAAAGCTACTAACCGAGCTGAACATCGGTGTTAGTGCTGCTGAGGTCTGAATTCATAACGCGAAAAAAGAAACCAGTAGATAAAAATCACTGGCAACGCGCAACAGGTGGGCTCGTGCGATTATGCGTTTTTGCAATATTTCGTGCTGTAGTAAGATCGCTTGAAATCCAATAGTTAGAATGTGTGACATACGGTTCCTCAAATTTCAGGAATTGTGCAATTGTGTACTTGGACAGGGGACATCCTGTTAAAATTTTATTTTTCCAGCTTTTCTGGTCCCTGAATTGACAATCTTCCCGCCAAAAATTTTGAAGGGTCCGTAGGTGAGAACCACGCATTGCGGAGGCTGACTTTGAAATTTTCAAGTTCTACATGGACGGAGGCACCCCCTCAAAATTTCAGCTTTCTAGTTTTTTTGGTTTCCGAGTTAGCGACTTTCCCGCCAAAAACTGTCACGGAACCATACGTGGGAAATACATATACTTAGGAGCTGAATTTTAAAATTTTAAGTTCTACATGGACCGGGAACATTCTCTCAAAATTTCAGCTTTCTAGCTCTTCTCGTACCCGAGTTAGCGACTTTCCTTCAGAAAATTTTTATGGGGCCATACGTGAGAACCACGCAGGCCTTGGGGCTGAATTTGAAATGCTTAAACGGTAGGTGGGCTGGAAACATCCTCTCAAGATTCCAACTTCCCGGCCTTCCTGGTCCCCGAGTCAGCGAATTTCTCGCCAAAACTTTCACGCGCTCGTACGGAAGGCCCAGACATGCGTGAGGGTTGGGGTGCCGCGGTCCTGGAATGGCATTTGATCGAGGAACCCACTGGCAAAATTTTGGCGCCTGAGCTTGCTCGGTTGACGAGTTGAAATATCCGGACAGATAGACAGACAAACACACACACACAC